TTGGACCCCTCCACCCAAGGCCGAGAAACGAGAGCGGTTAAAGTAGCGGAAACAAACAACACTACTTCTAGAAACGTATACCCCTAATACCCTACATTTGCTCTAGTCCACGAACCCCGATCCGTTCTGTCTCGCTAGTATTTACAAACACAATATGAAAATTCCTACTATAATTTGCATAGTAAAACGCTTGATGATTGGCATGACCGGATTTCTCACAGTCAATATTGCCCTGAAAACTACTATCAACCCCAATTCCTTATATTACACTCGGGGGGAAACCTACAACTTTATTCTTATTCCTCCATCCTTTCCAGATTTTCCAAGTCTTGGAGAGGGCTAGAAGGGCGACTATAACGGTGGCTATTGCAATGACCATGTTTGCGATCTCGAAGTTCTGGCTGTTGTCGCAGATGTAGCTGGTTACCAAGGTTTGAATTTGATGCACCGGCGGCTGCTGATCTTCGGGGGACGACGACTTAGACATGTCCATAATGCGGTATGTAGGTAGGTGTTATTTGAATGTATTTAGAGGAATTCGTTTGCAGCCACAGAACATGGTATGGGGGAGAGAGCGAGTGATAGAGTTGGAGGTTATTGAGATGGAGCTACAACGACGCGTACATCCACATATATAGCTATAGCTAGTGTGGAGTCTGGGTTCTATCTGTGCGAACCTCAGGATGCTGGACTATATATATACATATACAGGAGCGTGGATTATAAAGCTAGTTACCTATATTCTTTAAAAAGATTAAGCTGCGATAACAAAGTGCATATGAGGTCCAAGCGTATAATTTAGTTTGTGCACTTCACAATCAATCAGAATGTATGTACACGTAAATAAAGCACATTCAAGGTAAAATTCTATGAATTAAACGAAACCTAGAGTAGCAGAAGAAAAAAAAAATCCAGTCTCTTTAGACCTTTCCATTCGTGCAAGAAGGTGGGAGGGTCATGATAGCTAGTCGATTAGCTACACATTCCCCTCCATGGCTAACTACAGAGCTCCCGCCTCAGCAAAAAATAAACTAAAGAGGGAACGTATCGTGTAGCTAGCCTCCTTGAAAGCGTCTTTTTAACTAAACATCAATCAACCCAGTAGAGAGACGTTCCGGTGGAGTGAGAAGGCGTTTAGCATGTAGTCATAACATAACTAGGTGTAGATGATTATTATACCACAACACAACATCCGCAAAAAGGAATTACCTTCTTCGAAAGATAAGCGGAATGATCTGTAACGTGGATTTTCCCCACCACTAAAACAATTGACTGACTTACCGGCATCAGTTGATAAGATGATGAGCACGCGTTGAGTATCTAAAATAACGTTGTTACGAGCTCGAGCCTGAAGCCTAGTGAATTAATCGCGAATATGCTGCTTGTAACTCTAGCTCCATCTTCGCAGGGAGAAGAAAGAGATTCAGAAAAGCCGGGATATGCAGTTAGGGGTTCGCTGTGTCCTCGGTGACCGTTGCGGCTTGTACAGTTATTGGATGTTGAGGTAGAAAAGTTCTATAGAATTGTCAGTAGTTAATGTGTGAAACATAGAGTAGGTTAGCGGAAGGGTCCGCTAAAGGAATGCTGATCGTTCTTTATTTGGGAGGCTGGGACGTGGGGAGGGCGAAGAATTAAGGTCGGGGGATGAGCCCGAAGGTGCGTAGATGCTTCTAGTACTAACTAACTCCAAGTAGACTAGATCTAGAATCGCTCCTGTACTTAAGTAGGGCCTTAGACGGTACTAGAGTGGTATATACCTGACTCCCAAACTGATATACCCCGCACAAGACTTGAAATAAGCCTCGGTCTCGATTCTGCTTCGAAGAAGACCCTCCTGGGGATCTCGTCCTCTGGGAAGTGCCTCCCACCCGATAGTGGCCGATCTCTAGAAGCGTAGGGCTTTCTCGAGAGGCGTTCCCGAAAATTAGGATGAGGCTTTCCCGATAATTAGTATAAGGCTTTCTAGATTATCGACTTGTGCCCGTCGGGATCGTGAGGCTTTTTTTTTTTGAGCTTAGGGTCGTATGAATTTATGAAGACTGCGAACACATTTGAGCATCCCTTAGAACTTCCCTTTATAACGCTTCATATGCAAGGGGTTGATTAGCTGTCCTCTCGATCGTGGCAAAAAACATGACCCACCTGATATGTTGTTCGGACACAAACCCACTGTCACAGCAGTCATCCCAGGCTGCTAATCACGTCCCCTGGGGAGTTTCAGACGCCTGAACCCCTGGAAATCCTTGGTCGAGCCTGGTATGTATGTAATATTTCTTTGTATCAACGTCATTGCATGTTTCGTAGATCGAGAAAGCATTGGTCTAGCAGGGTGTGAAGGATTAATTGTTGCTCCGGTGTGCACTCGATGGTAATCCGCTGGCTACATGCAGATTTACGATTAGTTGGATTTTGACGGCACATATGCTGTAGTTAAATGTAGTCATGAAACCTATCATAGGAACTTCAAAGGTTGTTAATTACCAAACCTACATGTACTTTGGTATATTCTCTTCCTCGTTTGTATGGTGCGGCGTTTCCCGTTCAATTTCGTACTCGTAGAGACGAGGTGCGCTATAGGATGCTAAAATGCATGTATGAGTTTAAAATGCGCGTAATACCTCAGAGTTGTGGCAGAACGCGCAGAGGCAAACGCCTGCCTGCGCGTGTGTGTGCGACCCTAAACACAGATGAAGATTAGATTAGATTGTTGTTGCTCAGCCCCCCTAGGAATAGTTGCCAAGCTACCTCTGGTTAACCAGCGTAAGGGGATAATACGCTTCAATCAAAATCCTTTCCGCAGCCGCGAGTATTGGCTCGGTTTAAACGCGAGCTCGGGCGTTTGGGGACCGAACCATAACCATCTCATCAGACCACCAGGTCTCCCAAGTCTTGCTGTACCTTTTTCTTATATTGATTTTTGTTTCTATTTGTTTCAAGAATCACACGCCGATTCAAATCCGGCTTTGGTTGCGTAAACGGCGTTAAGGTGGTGATTTAAGTGTTTGGGGTCGGCGCGATGTCTGAACTGATGGAGAAAAGTCGATTATTCTAGAGATACTACCTTTATGGATGATCTAGCCATGATTACCGAGTATTTATATTCCATGCACAGGTGTACGAGTGATTTCCTGTGACACATCCACAATAAGGTGCGAATGCGCAGGCGCGCACCAGGCCTAGGTATGTACATGTGGTTTCCTTTGCAATGAACAAACCCTTTCCAACTGACACATTATCTTTAGCTCATTGGGTCAGCTATTTCGAAATAGAATACCCTGAGTTCACATGCTATCTAACCTCCTTCTCATTTTAATTACATGTAGTTGTGCACCTATAGCCACTAGATCAGTTATCTCGACCAATTAGACCAGTGTGGTCCACGAGGACGAGCGTCCTTGTGTCCTTGCCTCCTCGATAACAAGCAAGGACAGTGGTCCAAAAGGACAAGCAACTGCGAGGACGATATCTGTCCTCGCCTCGAGGACCTCCAAGGATAATTCTTGACTATAATACACACTTAATATACCCTAATCGGATAAGGTCATGAATAAAGTATATATACCTTCATTTTGAGAAATATCACCTTTTTCGTTTGCCGGGTTATCGCTTTATCGTCCTCGGGGACCACAGTGCCGGACTTCAAGGACAGACAAGGAGAGAGGTCAACGAGCCTCGAGCGTCATCGTGGACCACACTAAATCAGACTGTTGTTTGTAGAAGTTTATAAACTACAGGTGGTCACTCTTGGAAAACAAACTTTTCACTCCCTCCATTATAGGGTGGGGGCCCATCCTCCGTCTACGCTCTTTTCGCTACAAAGAGTCATCCCATTCTCCCTCCCTTACCTCTCAAACAGAGGGTAAGAAGGTTCATCTGCTCTTTTTAGCTTCATGAGAGCTCAGGGCTTAAAATCACCCCCAGGCGGTTCGCATCTTGCAATAGTTGTTTAAGATTTGGGCTCGTCTTTCCCAGGAGCCAAGGTCAGCTCGCGAGTGTTAGAAAATCCCGAGCTTTATAAATTACCAGTAACAGAGTTGATGATAGTAGATTAGGGTAATATAACAAAGCTGATAACTCTCTAGAGTTCATCTTATATAAAATGAAAACGTTGAGATAACTATGTTAGGGTGGGATGAAAGATCGAACATGTGTCCGAGCCCTGCTCTAGAGCTCGAAAACCTCGAGCCTCCAACCCCACGATCCGAGTCAGCTCGATCGCGAGCTTCACGTCATGCTCATCTCGAGCTATGTAGCTAGCTCGTGCCTAAAACTTGTTCAACTTGTTTATGCTATTGCAGGAACACCACTTTGTATAACTGTCTAACGAGCTACATAGATACCAAAGCCCCATTATCCAGGCAAGGATTACTCAATCTCGAGGAGTAGGAGTGGCATGCATGACGTCTGTGCTTTTACAACGAAGAGCTGTGCGCAGGGTACTTGGCATGTGAACTAAGTCCCGAGTGACGATTCATGATTGATCTACAATATACTAACCGTGTCAGGTATGCATACATTTACCGGGCGTTGTTGGCCGGCTGTTGTGTTCACTCTCTTTTGTGTTTAGATTCACGACAATCCGAACAATGAAAAATAAATAATTTCTTAGTTCTATAGACAGAGGGAGAATTTCATTTGCGCTATCGACGACGACAAAATGAATGATGATAGATGAGAGAAGAAGAAGAGGAAGTTACAAATCTAACTATGAGGTAGTCCTGCTGTGGACACCTTACAAAAGCATTGTCTGTGTCGTCACGTGAACGCTGACTAATCCGTGACACCTAATGTGCCCAACAGCGTTGAGGGTAAATACGAAGAATCTGATAATTCACGCTAACTAATTATAGGATGGTTCACGATATATCCTGACAACCAAATTAGGCTAAAAGCCAGCATTACACTCCGACCTCGTTGCCACAGAAAGATCACCAAAGTCTTATTTCACTTAACTAACTATAGTTACAATTTTATCAACAATAGCACGCTCCGACACCCAACTAAACGGTCAATGTGTAGTTGACAGAGTTTCCTGGCACACGTGGGAAGAACTGCGTGATATATTAGTATCAAGCTATCAAGAAAGAAAAAGAGGAATGCAACGAAAAAACTAACCTCGAACATGAAGGTCGTTGCCTGTCCTGCGGAAACGACTGCTGTCTGGACTGCTGCCCAAAGGATAGCATTGCTACTATCCCATCCGTACTGCCCGTACGTCTATCCATAACAGCCTCCGTTAGTGCTTGCCAATAACCTCACAAATCATGTACCACAGGTAGACTTACAATACGGGCCTGTTGCAATGCCGGCAAGTAGACTGTCCAGTCATCAAACAAGTAGGTTCCATCGGCCTTCAACGCCCTCACAGCCGCGATGTGGTTGTACCCTTTCCATGTAATGGGGATATATAGATCTGTCCCCGTCACTGCCTTTGATGTGGTGGTGCTAAGAGTTGGTACATCCCACTGCACAACCTGGATCTGCGAACCCGCACCCGCAGAGAAGGTCACGTTCAGCGTATCCAAAATACCAGCAGCGGTGGTCGCCGAGTATAAAGTTGAAAGGTAGCTGGTGGCGAAAACAATGTTTGCACCCGAGACGGAGTAGTCCGTTCCGGCAACAAGAGTCTTTGCGGACGACTTTATGGAGCTAACGGTGTTGCCATTAAGCTGGAAAGGGAGAGTCTGGGCGGAGACAGCATCGCCGACCTTGTGGAAGATGAAGGCAGAAGAGGATTGTGTGGTGGCAGAGGTGTCTGTAGTGCTGTCTGGGAGGGAGTTGGCAATGCCCTTAGTACCGGAGATGACGATATTGACGTCGACTTCGTTGCGCCAGACATGAGTACTACGGTTGAGATCATCTATACAGACGCATGAATGAGTTAGTACAATACTATTTAAAACTATTCGGAGAAGAGGGAGGGTCGTACCCCATCCAGTGACCCAAAGTACAGTAGCGGTGTTGTATTTAACCCCCAACTTCATGAGGTGATCGTAGTACTTCCATCTGGCCGCGTTCTCGGTGTTTGCCGCAAAGGCATTCCATTCTCCAATGATCAATGGGACATCGGTGAAGTTGGCTCGCATGCCGGCGATGTCTGCCTCCATGGTTGTCTTATCCGCATCAGAGCCCCAGGTGGTAGCTCCCCATGCTCCGAAAGTGAACATATCTATTTCCTCTAGTCAGTATATTATATAGTTCAAATTATCAGAAGATCTCTTACAAGGTGAGTAGTAGTGGTACTGCAGAGCCCAAGGCTGGGATTCGTATCCGCTAGGGAATTCAAACCACTGCGAAGTCTTGATACTGTCTTCACCAAGCCCAACAAGCGTAACAACACGTTGAGCGTTGTATCCACCGACGGCTCTGATGGTCTTCAAGAACAACATGTTCATCCTGTTCATTTGTGCACCGTGCTCTGCTGTAGTCCCAACTGGCTCGTTCAATGGCTCGAACGCAAGAAGAGAAGACTTGCATTTGAATCTTGTGCCAATCTGAGTCCAGAGACTGACGAATTTCTCTTCGATCATGGTAATGTTCGCACCAGAGGCTGAGAAGTCAGCCCATTCCCAGGAGTCGTGGTGGACATTGAGAATGACATAGAGGCCGCGTGCGAGAGCGTAGTCGACGACAGTTTCAACGCGGTCCATCCAGGCCGGGGTGACTGTCCATGACGGAGAGCTTGTGGAGAAATGATCGGCCCAGGTAACTGGTTCGGGTGCTATTAGCAGGAATTTTTGTATATAGAATATAAGAACTAACCTGGAAGGCGGACTCCCTTGAACCCCTTAGCCTTTACGTCGTCGAACACTGAAGCGGGGGTAAGGATGTTTCCCCAACTGGTTTCGTCTGGCACAGCGTCGAGGGTGTTTCCCAGATTCCATCCAGGGTTCATGTTGGTGATGAAGCTCTGGGCTGAAATTGATGTGAATGCTGTGGGACATGCTGATGCTGATACGGTGGCAGATGTTGTTGTTGATGAGGTTACCAGTGTTGTTGAAGAAGAGCTGCGGCTGGTAGTAGTACTACTAGTCACGGCAGCGGTGGTAGAAGTGGTTGTTGAGGCAGTTCCAGGAACGCATTGAGAGTAATCTGCTCAATAGTTAGAATGGGGCATATGGTTGTAGGTTATTCATGATGGATCTTCACTTACAAGCATTACCATAGCTGCAATAGTAGCCACTAACACAGGTAGTCGCTCCAGTCCAGGTTACACCACCACCTAAATCGCATAAGTATCATGAACTAGTATTACCAAACAACAAGCTTTGATCGACTTACATTGTCCATATGCTGTCTGCTGGGCGAAGGCAGCAGGCAGAGCTGCGAGCAAGGCAAGCGAGAGTACGTTCTTCATTCTGTGCCTTTCTGAAGATCAAATCCGCAATTAGCTGGTGGAGATGCCGAGAAAGAAACCGAGGAGCGTCCTTGGCTTTTTATATATAATAGAACATGAGTCTCATCGGTCGAACGATTCGATCACAAGCTCCGGAGTACTAATCGTTCATAATTGGGCGTTATTCGAGATTGCTTGCACGGCTGAATAATCCCTGTACCAAACAATCTATTTAATCAGCTTAGCGGTAATAATTCTTCAAACTTTTGCGGATTGCCACGATTTCTTTCCGGTTAGGGGGGCGCAGAGCAGTAGGGAAACGAAGGATATCAGAGATATCGATAGTGCAACTATAGCGGGGGAAGGTTGTTAACATCACGAAATGAAAGTGTACCTGCATGGATCAAGATTATTAGGCTAAGCAGGATTTCCCGGGAATTGGGATTCATGCCCAATAAAATCTCGGGATTTCGGAGTTGATGCGGGGCACGGCCGCGCTCCACCCCGGTACCAACTGCATCCGCCCCGGATTTTCAGGGCGAGCATTCCGGGACATGTTAGGAGTTATGGTGGTGTTTTGTGCAGAGATGAGCATCGGAGAAATGTTGCGGAACCCGCAAAGTGCAGAATGCTTATAATCGTGTGGTTACATCGTATGATCCAGATATTGTTTGCAGGGAGGTCTAGCTCAGGAGTGTAGGGCCGTTCCCCCGCAAAGTCTTCTGAGTCCTAGGATTGCTTGATTAGAGCTAATCAACAGATGAACCGTCTTATACATCTGGCACGGGGTTCTCACCAGAGAACAGCGCCTCCCAACTGATTGTCCATCGGCGCTCCCACCCGAATTGTCCATACAGTCTGCCAAGCATATGCAAGGTACCGAATGCACTTCTCAAAGCTCGCTAAATTAACCCGCATGTTCTTCCGTTATACCCCTGCTCAACGGTTCTGGCGTCAGGTGGACCTTTCCCCTCACATATCGAGGTGTTAATTTCGTTCGACGAACAGAAACCATACATAATTTTCTCAAACCAACGCCACCAGGATACATCAACTTCCGAGACGGATTGTACTCATCATCTAATCCAGGAGGCATATTCTGCAAGTCCCGTAATGGTCCTCAGGATTTGTATTTAAGACCCTCATATCCCGTCTCTAAACCTCCAACATCAATCGAATTCGGTTATCCTCTCGTATGGCCTTTCTACACTTTCTAGTTGGAGACACCTGATTAGCACTAGAATATCTAGCTAGAGCAACCCTTAGTAGCTATCTCTATAACTATAGCTGGCTATTGTAAACACATGATCACTGACCGTAGAGTGTATGTATTTGATTGCATATACCCACAATACCTACATATAGTTAGAGCGATCTCAGAAATTTATTGGTGGCGAGCAAACGGACGAGTCGCCATACTTGCTCAAACTAGAACCCAGGGGCATCGATCGAACGTTAATATAGCAATCAACGACTAGTCTTTAGGCGGTTCTGTTTTTGTTTGTGTGGTGAAGACCGGAATATTAATTGGGGGATGAGTTACAACGAATTCAAGGGAGTGGATACGTAGATATAAACACATCTTAATATCAGAGCAGGTAACCGAGGGCAAACAGTGCACAAGCAAACATACTTTAGCTTACGTGGGACAACGAAATCGCTATATAACTGAGATGTAACGAGGCTGTCAAATTATTTCAGCTCATATAAGCTGAAGGCCAGGGCCAATTGGGGAAGTTTTTCATTCCTTGATGTTTTAATGTTTTATAGCTGGTAAATATTAAATATATATATAATTGCTCCATATACGGCTTCCGAATTTATGATCCTTGTTACACGATTGAGTGCGAGCTGATGTAACGTGGCTGTCGGCCAGGACATGTACATGTACGACAAGTACCTAAATCGTATGCATGTATATCATGGTGGTCGCTTTTGATGGCGTATGGTACTTTACTTAGCGATATATACATGTATGAGTACCGCCGCTGTGAGGGAAGTCGACAACGTGCGCAATGTTAATTACACATATGCATGGCATATGGGAAAAAGATCTAAGACAGGATGCGAGACTAAGTTTACACGCATCTCAAAGGCGTACCACACATGACCAAAATCTTTAATAAGAATTAACTTTTCATCTACATCATCCAACCATCCAACCACTTAAAACTCTTCTAGGTAGAAGAGGTTTTTCCCCCTCGTCCACTCCCCCGGTACCTCTGGCTTTGGCCCGTGTTGGGTTTCAGAGAGAGAGATCCTGCGGGTCCTGTTCAACTATATTTGTGTATTTCTCTCCAAAACACATCGCGTATCTCTTCAAGTTTGCCGTCTAGGTGCACCTGGAGTGGTGATGGAGTGATACTTGGTGCACAAAGTATCACTCGCGGGCGCTGGGAACCCATTCCGGGGAGGTGTAGAGATATCTCGACGGTGCAGTACACTGAGCACAGGACCAAGAAGGGGAAACACAGTTGAAATTGCATATACGTGTCACTTGTGACTTGTCGGGTGGAAGAGGAATGCGCCGTTTGTGTGGCTGTGGCTGCCACGATAACTATCGAGAGAAAAGATCATAGGTTTGTTTTCATCAAAGACACGTCTACTCCCGTGGTAAGCTAGGGAATCGATCGATCCCTAGTTACATGCGTATATTGGCTTATTTTAATATTATTCCAGGTCATGGGAGAGCGGTCTTTTTGGTCTAAACCCCCGGGCTGCCCACCTATATCCTTTATTCTTACTTGCCTCAGCAATCCATCTAAGGCCGAGAGCACAATGTCCAATACCACCACATCGCGCCGCTCTCCATGCCCGCAATTGCCTTTGCCTTTCAAAGCCTCCAGTCTCCAGAAAGACTGTATCGATCCCTACGTCCCATCATTTTCACTAACTGGAAGTTCTGATCTTATAATTCAGCCCTCTCCACGTCTCTGCCGTAGCGATCTTACAGCTCCCACTTTCAAGGACCTTTCCGAACTCTCTCTATTACGCATCCTTGACCTCGCCCATCCAGAAAAGGAGAACCCGCCACCCCGCCTGTTCCCCACCTCAGAGCGAGTGCAAGATCAGTTCTTCTTTACTTGCGAGTGGAACGAATTCGGGAATCTTGAGACCGAGCACGCACGCTTGCTGTACACTCTTACCCGCTACCCCGAACGCGGACTTCCATCTGTCTCTCGACCGCTCGTCGAGGCGTTGCTCTACTGTGAGAGTGTTCTTGATGGCTGGCCAAGGGTTTCAGGCAGTGTTAAGCTAGGTGCAGAGAAGGTGCTGAGTGATGTGCTGGGCCAGATGGTTTTTGCCCAGCGAGGAACTAGAGACCGAAAGGAGGACTTTCTAACAGCACCGGTAGAGTATGTGACTGGCGGAGGACCGCCGTATCTTCAGGTGTCGTTGTGGAAGCGGGCACTCGCAGAGATCACAAACGACCTGCAAGGCGGAAATTCTAGTCGGGTAGAGCAGTTCCTACAGATACATGCATGTCTAAAAGACCCAATCGGTGGGCTTAAGTGCTGCTTTCGGAGACAGCTTGACAGCTTCATGGGTTTATTAGCGTCATTGCGGAGCTCTCTATCTAGAGAAACCACTGCGATACCCCCAGAAACATGGAAAGATATTGCGGCGCAGCTGGCAGCTGAGTCTTCGTTTTTGAGCATACCAAGGCTACTTAAGGTTGTGTATATCCACTTTGTGGGCCACCAAATGCTTCCATATGTCTATGTCTCCCTCGACAAACTACCACGCGCCGAATTCTCAATTCCGAAGCGCGTGCTGGAAATTATGCGTGAGATGGTTTCCGGCACTCCCAGCTCTGGCAGCTCCATGTGTTGCGTTGCACCCATCACCATCGCATATTGCCCTTCACTGACGCGTGGAAGGAAGGCGGGGAAGGTCATTCTTGACGGTAACAACAGAGTCGCTGCTATCGCGGTGCTAAGGTTCCTGGCTACACTGACCGTTGGCGGAACCAATGACATGGTCATGGGAAGCCTAGAACGCTACTGCACTTACCACGGATTCGATAGCAAGTGGCATGTTGACCTTCGGGATGTCATCTCTGAGCTATGGGGCTCTCCCGAGACTCTAAAGTATCTCCGTGAGGAATCCAGGGGCCTTGTTGCAAAGTTTAGGACGGTAGTGCGCGTTCCGGCACTTGTGGTCCAGGAACCAAGTTTTCATACGGTGTGGGTCCCGAAAACAGGGGCTGAGAGAACGGCATTACTTCAGCCTATGCATCAGTCTATATACAACGATAGGTCCCTTTGCCTCGCAATTCCAGCGAAGCAGCAGTCCCATGGTAGGCCACTTGGGTTTTGGCCATTGCCGTTGAAGTAGAAAGCGAGCTCTCCCGGCGCTGGCAGCCGGTGAACTACATGTATTCATCCTGTAAGAAAACTACATGCGAGACGTTCAGGCTTCTACGAAGCGGCTCCAGCTAGCCTGGAGTCTATCTGTTTATGCCAAGACCCTCGTTGTTTGTTAAACTATGACTGTAGTTTTTTAAATACTGCTCCCGCAATATGATGTCGGAGCTCGTTTTAACTTTCATGGTAGATGTGACAACTTTGTCTACTCTTTGATACGAGCTATGATTGGATGCGGGCGTTATACGAGTCCTACTTCTATCCAACTCCTTATTTGCTGCATCGGTGATAATTATTAGTAAACCGATTAATTACTTGATTACTCTACTACCAATCCCACGCTAAACTAAATTAGTCGACGAGTGACACCCCATGTCCGCCCACAACAACCACCTTTCCAATCTCAGCACAAATTATTAGAAGTAGACCACTCCCAACTAATCAAAAACTCCGGGGTGACATTCCCACCCGACCACGTAGATCCTACGTCACACCCGCTGTCACTCACTTTCTCTCTCCCCAGTGTAAGATTTACGTCATCACGCCAGCCAGCCATGGCAACAAGGGGCAATGATACAAAACCCCAGAAAATCCACCCACTACAAAATTAAACCCACCCCCCCCCGAAACACGCTCGCCATGACCACCACCACACTGCGTCTCCGCCTCCTCTCATCACTGCCATCACTAACACCGCGCCTCACCACCATCACCACCGCCCTAAAACCCCACATCACCCCCATCTACATACAGCAGCGCAACATGTCATCCCCCAAGTCCACACCACGCACCCACGAAAACTCACACGACACATCGAACCTGAGCCACGACGAGAAGCGCCAGGTGCACGAGAACCGCATGGACCGGCCGCCCTACACGGTCGACGAAGGCGAGCATGGGGCGTTCAAGCCGATTTACAAGGGCGCGTGTTTCTGCGAGAAGGTGACGTTCGAGATCTCGCGCGAGCGGCCGCTAGAGGCGAAGTTCTGCCATTGCGAGGGGTGTCAGAGATTGCATGGGGCGCCGTTTCAATGGGTTTGTTCCCCGCCCCCTCCTATGTTGTGTTGGTTGCGGATTGGGGGCTGACTGTGTATATGTACCCCAGGCGGCGATATTCCACAAAACCGACGTGCGCTTCACGTCCGGCTCCTCCGAGCTGATCTACTGGCACTCTGGGACCAAATCGCAGGACTACATCCTGCCGTGCAAGGTGTCGTGCAAGAACTGCCGCACGCCGATCATGGATGAGGGGCGCAAGATGCTGCTGCTGTTCCCGACGCTGGTCAAGTTTGGGAGCGCGGCGGAGAAGCGGCGGTTTCACCCGAGCTGCCATATTTTCTATGAGCGGAGGGCGATCGATGTGCCGGATGGGCTGCCGAAGTGGAGGGGGCATAAGGGGGAGAGTGAGGAGATGGTGGAAACGATGAGGGAGGAGCATGGGGGGGCGAATATCTGAGGCGGTTGTAATAAATAAATAAGGGCTTGTATCGTTGTAATTATTGGATGTCGGTTATATATTGGTTGAAAACATTGGTGGAGTGTTGGCGGGCGTGGTGATTTGATCGCTTGTTCAAGATGCGTACTTGGTGCAGGTGGAAGTGCGGTTCGGTGTAACGGTAAGATCAACGTTTAATTGGAACTGGTCCGCAGATCATCCAGAAGTGCAATAACGTTTTATGTGGGCCCTGGGAGAATGCTCCGAGACACTCGCCTAGCTTAATTCAAGATGACGGTGATACGGAATTGAGCTTAATCAAACAGCGGGGGAGCTGAGCTAGAGTGAGACCTTATGACAGGGCAGCTGTAGCACCCATGTTAGTGAATTGAGGGGAGGATTGGAAGCAAGATGATGTATCCAACAAGAGCTTAGACGCTTACAACAAATCGAGTCTTTATTCGCCCCGACTCTCATAGCCCCGGTGTTTCGGTGTTTCGGTGTTTCGGTGTTTACCACGCAGCGTGAGGTCGGCCAGTCGATAAGATAAGATAAGATAACCGCACCAAGCCCCTGGGGCTTAACAACGAGTAAAAACACACTACAGCGTGTGTTTAAAGCGGTTTAACTGGAGCAGTACATTGTAATCTCAATAGTTACCGTCACCGGCTCCAACGGCCCGGGTTCGAACCCCGGGGCGGGCGGTTAACGTACGGGATGGCGCTGGCCATAACGGCCTAACTTGCTGTAGTTTTTGCTGCTGGACTTGGAACTTCTGTTTTTTTTTTTTTTTTTGCTGGGCATGTACCGTTTTAATTATTTCTCGCTATTGGTTGATTTAACGGAAAAGGTCTAAAAAGGCTAAAAAGAGACAGTTCGCTGTCTACTCGGCCTCACGAGTCACTCCAAGAGCACAAAGACATCAGGAAAAGCCAGTAATAAAGGTCCATTCCCGGCCTCATTCATTTCCTCCTCTAGAGAAACCAAACGTCGAAATAGCGTTCCTAATTGATTCCACTACAGCACAACCCGAATCCCCCCACAGGGGCATAAATTAGGTTCCACTCCGGCCCAGGAAGGTACAATGAGCAAATCCAAATCTACAGTAATTAGCAAATGGCGCATCAGTAGTGGCCAAAGACACCAAGCCGTTTCCCCTCCGGCTCCTTATCACCGCGGGAGGCCGGCAAGCGCTCTTCATATACCCGAGTCACGAGTGATATCTCATGATCCCACCCCACCAAATTTCAATCACAATCCATCACTCGTGCCCCACACCCATCCTCTCCATCTTCCAAATCCCGGATGTTTTTTGTTTTTGTTTAATTCATTAATTGCATGCAACTTTACAGTTATGGCAATACCTCAAATCCCGGATGCAAGTTTAAAGTTTCAAAAGATAATTAAATTTTAATAAAGACTCTATAATTTTTTAAACCCCCCCCCCCCCCCCTTCCCTCTTCTCGTTCTCTGATATCTCTTTCCCAGGCCAATGCAGGCACAACACAACAGTAAAAGAAAATAAGGACAGAAAACAGAAAAAACAAATCCCGATATATCATCACATTCATTAATCCATCACGCACAGCCTCCCACCCCCCTTCTCTCTACCACCATGTATATTAATCGCACCCAATAAACATGCAGAACCGCAGTCAACGACAAACATGCAATAAATAAAAATAAAAAAAGCGAGAAAAATAAAAAACAAGAAAAGAAAAAAGAGAAAAGTAGATCCCGTAGTAATCTCATTTATGTACTCGCACCCCTCTCATGTCCACTCCCCACTCCCCACTCTCCCCTCACCCTTCACCTCTCACCTCAACTCACTCCCCGCCGCCGCCGAAGCCCACCGCTCACGGCTCCGCCTCCTCTCCTCACCCTCTATACCAAAAAAGAAGCCCACATAAACACAGAAGCAACCCCATTAAGTCCCTAAGTAGTAAGGCAAAAGAAGAAACAAGAAAGGGAAGAAAAAAAAACCAACACGATCGCTCCACACAGACAAGACAGACTAAGATAACAATAAGAAGCCAATAAGCAGTAGGTATACTAAAGAAGTGATTTACTCCAACTCCCCCCAATGTATAAGACAAGGTGACCGATTCGTAAGAAGAAAAAACAACACTCCACGAGAGACATGACAACAGACAGTAGTAGTGTAAGCTAGGGAAAAGACAAAAGAAAGAAAGAAGAAGAAGAAGAAGATCACGCCGAACTTAACCTACAGTCCCGCCTGTAGACTCTCCACGGCACTGACCATGCCCTTCTGTGTCTCTATACTTCGCTGTGCATCTTCAATTTGGTAGCCTAACACGTTGACTAGAAAGTCCATCCTACACTGCTTGTTAGCAATCACGCCCCATCGTTAAACACATAGGGAAAAAAAACTTACTTAGCCTCCCACACATGCCTCTCCCTCACCGCCTCATACCCTTGACAACACATATCCCACACACGCCCTCTCCTGGCTTTATCCACTGTCTTCAGCCTAACCGCAAACACACCCGACACCGGCCGATGGTCACTTGTCCTGACCTCCCATCTCCGATAATCCGTCTGCTTGATCTTCCCGAGCCCTCTATACAGCAATCGATCACACCACGCCGGCGACCGCTTCTTCTCACTGCTATCGTATGTGTCCGTCCCTACGTCGTATTTATATGTCGGCCTAAACGTGATGGGCGACTCATTGAACGCGCGTAGTCTGAAGCCGGGATTCCGCTTCCGCTCCATGAGAAGCTGGTCACGCTCAAGCAATGCAGGGAGTTCGAGGTTCTTGGCTCTCGAGATGACCGAGTCGCGGTGCATGTCGATTCTGTAGTTCAAGTCTCCGTTAAGGATACAGATTTCATGATCAAGAATCATGCTACCGTCGCCTCCACCGACAAAAATATCTTGTGCTGGATCAGCAGGAAGGCTAGAAGACTCAAGAATTGCGGCAATATCGTTGTTTCGGGAGACGGTGTGTGACTGGCCAGCGGCAAGATGGCAGTTGATGAAACAAAGTGACGAGTCATCGAGAAGGAAACGGATGATGAGGGCGCCCTTGTTTCCGTGGAGACCACCGAGACCACGTTTGACGGTTGCAGCGCTGACGTTTCGGATTGAGTGGCGTTCGGCGGACTTGACAAAGATACAGGTGAAGAGACCCACGAGATTTGCTGAGTGTAGGAGAGTATAGGGTTCGTCTCGTGGGAGGTGGGTTTCGATTGACTTTGTGAGCTGTTGTTGCCAAAGACGATATTGGTGCGACATATGAGCTTGGTGATCAGCGGCCTTCTTCTTCTTCCCGCCCTTGAGAAGGGTTTTCGCCGTAAGCTTCTTGTTCTCGAGATCGACAAGCTCTTGGAAGCCAAAGACAATGACATCTGGTGACTCGACGCTAGTGAGCACGTTTTCGAGGAAAACGCGGTCATCGGCGTCTTTAAGCAGGTCCTGCGGCTTGCAGGCGCCGGCGTTCCAGGTGCAAATCAGAGCTTTGATCTCGCGGAAGCTGCAAAACTCGGCATCGCGCTTTTGCATCTCGCCTTCGAGCCAGTCGTCTTCAAGCATACCGTCCCAGAGACGGATGATATTGTCCACGCCAAGAGAGACGACTTGCAGGCGGCCGGTCTTCCAGATGCTGGTTCGGTCGGCGATTAATTGGACTACAGGTCCGTTTGAGCATTGCCAGTCCTTCAGTACCCGCCATGGCTTCGAGCGGACATCGTAAACGTAAATCATCCCAGTCTTGAACCCGGCCCACAAATAATCCCCAACACCACTCATGGAGTTGATTTTATACAGCGAGATACTAATGACGTCGATGCACGTAAGCTGCGTCCTCGAGTAGGTCGAAACCTTGCCATCCGAGTGCCCAAAATATATCTTCCCTGGCTCACTATTCACCACCGCACCACAAGTGATCTCACCTGTCGGCTTACTTGGTGCCAACGGTCGTTGTGTCAGGTTAAAAGGTATACTTGGATCTGTACTGGGTTGATAGACATGCACCGACTTCCCCGCGCCTATCCATAACAGCCCATCAACAACGAGTGAGAATGTGTGCTTATTCGGGATTCTAAAGGTCGTCGGCGAGTTCTTTAGATTTGGCACGCCGTTCACATCCGGACCCCACACTTGTAACTTCCCACCCTCATCGAGCGTCCACAGCTCATACCCGCAGCGGTGGATCTGGACAATCTCCTTCTTAACATGTGCGCTTGACCTTGAGTCGATCACCCGCTGCCCCGCAATATCCACCTCCAGCAGCTCACCGTGTGAGGTACCCAGCCACAGCTGTCGGCCCTCATCCTGAACCTTGATTGAGGGCTTGAAGGCAATTGCAGTTATCCGCGTGCCCTCAGAGTGGGGGAGCGACATTATACACTGACCGGTCTCTATGTTCCACACGTTCGTTGAGTGGCTTGTAGTACAGACATACTTCCCGCAGACAGCGAACAATCGGACATCATATTTACATGGGATTTCTCGTACGCCGGTCTTGAAGCATGGGAGCCTTCTGTTTGCCTGTGACGAATCCGGATACTCGCTCAGCGACGACTGATCATCAGCACCCTCATCCGAGTCATCACCATAGCCAGTATTCCGGTCGCCTCCTGAGCTCCCAATAAAAGTGTTACTCCTAGCAAGTGATGGTTGCCGTGACGGCGAATTGCTCTTTGTTCCAGGCCTTTTTGGCGGCGGAAGAAATGCTGAGGGATTAGGTACAGGCCTTTCAGGAACAGCAGGTTCAGCATGTCTAGGAGGCGAATAACTCCGTCCCCTCATGCTCGGAACCCTAGCCTTGATCCCTCCAATTATACCCCCTCCAATTGGCCTCGGCGGCAAATCCGGCCTCAACCCAGCGTCATCCAACGATGTCCGCTGCCCACGAACCGAATCTTCAAATTTCATCCTTGGCCTAACCTCCTCCCTTGACATCCTCGGCGGTGGCGGTGGTGCCGGCTTATTCGCCCTCACATCAATAACGTTCCCATTCCTCTCTCGTGGCGGTGGTGCCGGCTTATTCGCCCTCACATCAATAACATTCCCATTCCTCTCTCGTGTTGCGTTCGCATTCGGGGGTATCGGTGGGGGTGGGGGTGGGTTGTAGCTCAACGGCGGGGGAGCATAATAGGCCGAGTTGTTTGTAATCTTGCCCTGAATTTTCGGCCTTGGCCCTGCCTCATTATCCGACCTACTCGGCGAGTTATTTGCACTCGACGGTGGCGTGCTAAACGGCGATACCCGTTCCTCCGAGGACGTCGTCGGCGCTGCCAGCGCAATCCCTGCAAAATCCGGTCTTGTGTTTTTCGGGGGTATCATGGGCGGCTTACTTGTGATCTTCGGTTTCGAAGTCCTTGCCGGGATCGGCGGTGCGCAATTATGCTCGTCATGCACCACCTGCAACGCCGGACTCAGCGGCGCCCGTCTCACCGCAATACTATTGTTTGGCAGGCTCGGTCTACGATCAAAATTTGGCGGGTCATCAAAGCATGAAACTGGCGCGGGCGCCGGCGGCGCGGGTGGTCTCACGGCAGCCCTTACCGAAGCAGACACCGGAGGTGGTGGGGGAGGTGGGGGCGCAGCGCGCTTCTCTGTACCAGGCGATGGCGTGCTTCCACGGCTCGGAACCTTATTATTACTGTAGGGCCTGGCTGGTGCATTAGTGCTATTCAACGGCGCGTTGAGAACCGCGGGTGCGGGTGTTGGTCTTTCCGGCGATTTATCCCGGGCATCTATGTTTAGCGGCGGCGGCGGACACGGGGGAGATCTTGGCGACTCAACGCGAAACGTCGGAGGTGACAGCGGCGGAGAGAATGTGCTGTACATTGAGAGCGGTCGCTGGCGGGGGCCCTGACCGCCGAGTCGCCCAGGAACGGTCGCCGAAAGGTATTCGCGGTACGACTTCTTGGCGGGGGGCGCTGCAGGGCTACAGGAGTAGGCTTCTCGGGGAATGTCCAGAGAGGCTCGCGTGTAGCTCTCATGTGATTCTCTGAACGGGTCGACGCCTGTATGTGCTGGTCTGAGGGGCTTTGGTACTTCGGGTGCTGCTTGATGCGATCTCGAGGATGTCATTTGCTCAAAGCGTGAGCGCAGTGACGAAACGGAGGCCTGAACGGGGGGGGGGGGGGGAGGGTTAGCTGGCGGGTAAACAAACGGGGGGTAAATTGGAGCCAGAGGATCGTGAACTCCTCGAGGGGCCTCTCACGGGTGGTGTATCATCTTCGACATTTTCTTGTTGCATGGCTGTAGCGATCAAACAGAGCGAACGGTGGATTCTCGACTAGCTAGAACAGAGCCCAACAGCTTGCGATGAAGGGTGGATTCCAACCAAGGGGGGAAAGGGGACCGATCCAGCGGGAGCCAACTAAAATGATTGACAATGGATAGCACGATAGTCGATAAATGTTTAAATTTTTTTTTATCTATCTCGGTTGTGATATTGAGGGGTTGAATTTAGATGGAGGTATCTCTCGGCAAGCTTTCGACGTGAGCAAGGGGTGTGGGTGTGGAGGGGAGGGGGTTGGTTGGTTGGTTGGTTGGTGGATCCACAGGGGGTTGTTGAGTCGAGAAGAGAGAGAGAGAGAGAGGGAGGGAGAGGGAGGGAGAGGAAAAGAACAGGAAGAAGAGGAAGAAAAGTGGAGTCGATTCCCCTATTCCATTCACGCAGCAACAGACAGAGGAGGCCAGAGTGTTCTCGATGATGATTGAATAATAGTATTATTTTTTTTTAAAAAAAAGGTACTGTGGTGTTGTTGAAGCTTGACGAGGATGGACGAAGGGGAAGGAGAGACAGCCAGACAGGCAGGCAGAGTAGAAGATGATGATGATGATGATGGTATCTGACAGCTTGTTTCTGCCCTGGGATAGGAAAGATAGATAGTTGTGCTGTAGGTAAGTGCAAGTAAGCTCTCTGTTTGGGGGGGGCAACAACCAGCCAGAGTCCGTCAGTCAGTGGTTGTGGCTTTTTTTCGGTTTCATCAATAATAAACGTTCCTGACAGAGAACGAACGGCGGCTCTTGAAAGTTTTCTGGAAGGTGTGTGTGTGATGGGGCCTTCCTTGGCAGTAACGTTCTAACCCATACCCAATTGTACCCCGATACACCCTTCCATACTCTTCTCTACACCCATGGTGCCCCCCCCAGTAACACTGTAGTAAACAAACGATCGAACCCCTCCCCAGCCACAAAAACAACGCACAAACACACACCGCAACGGCCAGCCACGAAAGGGGATGGAGATCTCACGCAACAGGCGTAGCGCTGGACCGATACGTCAGGGAGGACGCGTCCTGATGATCATCCGAAAACTCAAAAGCGGGCAACTCCACTCGACTCCACAACGCGACAGTCTTCCAGTCGCTCGCTCTAGAGTACCTACAGCAGATCTCTCCCCACAGCTGTCAAACCCAAGAAAAAAAAATAGATGTCGGTCATCACCTCCATCATCCTGCCTATCGGTAAACCGACTGCCCGGTCAGCTAGTAAGAGCGTTCCTCTAAAAAAAGAAAAAATAACCTACTGTGCCTTATGTACCAGACATACCGCGTCCCTGACCCCAAAAAAAGACCCTTATGCTTCCACGTGTTTGTGCAGAACCCTTGCCACCACAGCCGCGCACTGCCAGCGAAAGAAATTCTACTGTTTTCATTTCTACTGTCACTGGACTGGGAGCATGTGCGTGTGTGCCGGAAACACCTGTCATCTGGTCTCGCGATTGAATGCCGCATGTGGGAGTGCGCGACAGGGTAAATTTTGGCTTGGCTAGCCATGGGGAGAGACATGGATGGTCACTCGGTGGTGTCATACACAGCAAATGACAACGTGATCTAGATCTAGATCTCTCCACACGAATTTTGAACTGATGGGGGAAAACCGCTAGTTTATCTTGATCAAAGATACAACGTGATACATAATACTCGCAGTGTAGTGAGCCAGAGTTAGGAAAGTGATTCAACCGATCAAAGGTGTGTCAAACAAGTACGTACACCTAGCTAGGCCTCATATCATTTTGACTCATCTTCTGTTATCAACAATTTTATACTCAAGCTGGGGAGCCTACGTATACTCTGTGTATCAACACTAATATTGTGAAGCCCCGATCCTGTGGGTTGTCATATCCTAGGAAATCAACCTATAACTAGCCTATATGAGCAGTTACGTAGGTGTTTATTCAATGTATCCCATTCTCGATCATACATGCTTCCTGCTATGTCCAGAAACGAACCAAAAAATCTGCATCCGACGATGTATATGATTAACCCAAGCGCCGCAACAGCGTTTGGTACCCCATAGCCCAAGTCTAACCACAGGTGAAAGACAGGATGTACCCGAGTCCCTGCCAAAGAAAACTCTCTAGCTTATTTTATCATGAACTGAGGGCCAGTTCTTATATGTAAACTTATAATAGCCGAACCCACGGCCGTCAGGGAGTAGAGAAGCAAGCAAATGAAGACACCCAAAGCACCCATACCAGCCATGACAAATAGAAGCTAGACGACCGAATGCATTGTCCAAAGCAGAATTGTCTTGAAGGAGTTATGCAGATGATTGAAAGTTGGGGTTGACGTCAAGAAGACGGGTACATATTCCCCCCTCGCAGACTCGAGGCTTCAAAGACAGCATGGGCGAGATGAGATGAGAGAACACGTATTGAACCGGACCCTATCATACAGTCAGTACACCTAGTCATAGACAAGTATTCACGGTGGCATAATCATCACCTCTACATCCACCACACTCATTCTAGCCCGTTGATCATCTCTCGCTCGCCACCAGACCCCACGCTCGCCATGTCACTGTCTTAACCTTTCACCCAATCTTCACCTCACCAGCCTCACTCGCTAGAGCGCGAGCTTAATCTCCAAATGATACCTCCCAATGTTCGACGGAGCCTAGTCACACTAGGCTGCGGCATGACTCGCTCTGGCTCTTGGTAGGACCATATGCATGAGAATGCCAGCGTTATCGGGAGTGATGGGAATGCAGCTTCCTGTTGTTGTGTCTTGTGGAGCCGGAGGGAATTCTAGTCGTAGAAATGGGTAATTTAGTAGGCACTGCTGCTGTGTATAGACCTTCTATGGACGTGTGAAGTGTGCGGTGGTGATAGTAGTGGTGATGGCGTCGCGTGTTCTAACTCGTCATGGGATGTCACTCGGGCTACAACCACCTTATGCGAAACTGTAACGCCCCACTACGGGTGCCGATAGTGCGTATTTTTTTTCTTCGTTGGCGCCACGTTTTGTATCGGAACCACGCGCACCGCGTCTTGTCTAAACCGATCGAGAACGTTCTCGTTGATCACACTTCCCGCTTCGATTGGGATCTGTAGTGTAGTGCCGGCTGGACTCAGGCCATGATAAGGATAAGATGAGATAGATAAGCCCACCAAGCCCCCTTTCACTCGGCGGTGGGGTTTAAAAATGAGCAAAGACACATTACAGCGTGTGTTTAAAGCGGTTTAACTGGAGAAGTACATTGTAATCTCAATAGTTACCGTCACCGGCTCCAACGGCCCGGGTTCGAACCCCGGGGCGGGCGGTTAACGTACGGGATGGCGCTGGCCATAACGGCCTAACTTGCTGCAGTTTTTGCTGCAGAATTTTTTGGAGCTAACGCTTACCACATCAGGCCGTTCGTTTCTTTTTGGGGGGAGTGGTAGGGCGACATGTGGTTTATACTATCAGGACACTGAAAATCGACTGTTTTCATCTTATCCCCACTTCAACATCGACCCCAATACCCCGCCATCACCGACACAACGGCGTTCGAACATCACTTCAACAGAACTCATCATCTTCCATTAACCTCGCCAATGAAAAAAACGAAAACCTGCCATCCCCAGGTCGAACTGCGCTGAGGTACGTAAGTGAACAGCCCCAGTCTCTTATAGCCCATGATCCCCAACTTTCCGCTACTTCTTCTTTGCCATTTTCCCCGTTACATAACCTCACAGCTATGCGCACTTGTATCCCTTTTCTTTGCTTATTCCTTATCCCCTCGTTTCACCACCCCTCACCAGCCTCACCTTATCGTTTGTCGCCTCTCTCCCTTCTTTTACTACTCTTCATCCTCTAACATGAGCACCCCATAGTACGGCCGCCTATTACCACCAAGAGTCTATACCCGTATTAGGGTCCAAGCCTCCTACCAACCAGTAGACCTCTACTCAAGCACGCGAACAAGTGCCACCCCTCCGGCCCTGGCTCAGTCGGCACCGATCACACAGAACACAAGGCAGAGAAAGGAGGTACTGAACACCAAATTCTGTTGAATATGAGCATATGTCGCTCTTAAGGCTATTCGGCCCTATCCTGGTAGGACACTACTAGCACGTCGAGACACAGGTATTTCTATATTGTTCAAAATATACCGTCATCCCAGCTCCATGATGATGAAATATTAGGAAAATCGTAGCTAATGAACCCACTTAGACCAAGCCTCTGGTTGTAAGAGGGTATCCTGTAATTGTCATACTCTCGTATCTATCTACTGAGTGCATACTCACTTCACCAAAAGATCCCAACCATTTCAAGATGACTGGATAGACCCCTGCGCTACGGTCTCGCCGAATTCCCCGACGAACATACAAACTCACAAACATGCCCCCTTACTGACAACTATGCGTTACGGCCCACATCTACCATATACAACAACTCCCTAATCAGAGAACAGGCACCAATGACGATCGATGAAGGGTGTTTTGTAAGTCTCAACCTATGTGAACAGGATCTTACCTCGGCTAGTACAACAGAAACACGGTCTTAATCACAGATTGTCACTCGATCACGTGCAGGACCAAATTTGCAAATAGAGAATGCAGTAGCCAATAAGAGAAAAAAAACAGCTGGGAAGAAGAAAACTGCGCAGAGAATAAATATTCTAAATAAACCACTGCCTCTCTGAATATTGCAATTAGTGCCTGCTGCTAAGACTCTCGGAGACGGTTCCGGCCAGCCGCTGTTAGAGTAGCGACGGATTACTAGGGCGGAGCAATGTAGCCAAGGTGAGAATTACCTCGGGCGATATTAATTTGTTATATTTAAGATTAGCATACGTCTTGCACCAATAATATGTGGGAGTCATACGACTAATCAAGCTGCAAGACCTTTTCTAGACCTACATGCAGTTACCGCCACGCCTTCCCAGCAGCTGAAGGGGACAAAACTTCTTAACCCTTCTCCCGCTCTCTAGTAGCCATCAGTTGAAATAAACTTTGTATAGAATATTACTAGATATTAATACCAATAAGCTTTTTTTTTTTACTCTTCTCTTACGGGGCCTTTTTTTATCTTCTCCACAGGAGATGGCTAATATATGCTTCTAGTGATCTTTGGCCGCACAGAGCAAATGTTCCCCGTAGGTGATAGCAGGCCTCGTTCGCAGTGTCATACTACATTTCCCGTATGGCCTTTTATTCGGCACAACGCTTAATACAGCGGAGTTAGACAGTCTAGACCGAAGAAAGCCTACCTCTTTGGCCTAAAGGTTCCTGCCCAAAAGCCGGGCCGACTCAGACACTGTATTGTTCTGGTTCTAGTTCCTATCCCGGTTGGATATATGTATCCAATCTGATTACTACCAAGCTAGAACCACGGCCGCGAAACATTGTTTCTGCCGACAATACAAGGCCAAAGCTCCCTAATTCTGGAAAGCTCTCTAATTGACTCTTACCATAACCCTTAGGGTCGGTGGTAGATCACAAATTTCTACTCCAAGTTCTCAACATGTCTGTATATAAATGGTCACAAATCGCCATAAGCGCGTCTATTTGGGCCGGGTAGATAAAACAGACCCTTCGAGTATGTTCCATCCTTATCACGTCTATGACGTATTAGAACCCAGTTTAACTAATCATATTTATCTGCGACTGTTTCCTGTCAGCTTGACTTACCAACTCTCCGACAAAGCTCCCATTGGTGATATCCAACGCCAATTTCCTTACCCATTGGTAGCGTGGGGTCCGTAATTCTCCGACGTCCCATCAAGATGTGATCCACAGGGGGGCGTAACCTTCTTCACTGTAAATCTCCGAATGTCTTACACAGACCTCCTGACCACAACCCTGCATGGGAACGCCGATCATTGGCCACAAATTGTGGAGTGCATCTCGTCCTTAGCGACGTAACACAACACGACTACTATACCTCGGCCTCAGCACAAGCTATCGACAGCTCCCCAACATAACCCCGACATCGCCGCCATATTGTACTTTAGATTGTAGATATATAAACCCCCACCGAACCTAAACACCTCCTCACAATTCGCCAGCAATGAGTACCCAGCCCCCACCTCTCGCCGGCCTCCGCGTAATCGAATTCGCCGGCCTCGCCCCCGGCCCCTTCTGCGGCAAGCTCCTGACCGACTACGGCGCCTCCGTACTCCGGATCGACCGCCACGACGGGCCCCAAACCCCCACGCCAGACCTCCTCGCATCCAGCAAGCGCTCCCTAACACTCAACGTCAAGTCCCCCGCCGGAAACCAGCTCCTGCGGAAGCTCCTCCTCACAGCCGATGTCCTGATCGACCCATTCCGGCCCCAGACGCTGGAGCGCCTGCAGCTCGGCCCAGAGACGCTGTGTAGAGCGAACCCGAGGCTCATATATACGCGCCTCACCGGCTTCCGGCGCGACGGGAAGTATGCGGCCATGGCGGGGCATGATATCAACTACCTTGCCGTCTCAGGCGCGCTCTCGCTCCTGGGCGCGGCGGGGGCGCCGCCGTCACCGCCGGCGAACATACTAGGCGACTTTGCGGGCGGCGGGGCGATGGCGTTTATGGGCGTATTGTTGGCGCTTGTTTCGAGGGGTGTGAGTGGGAGGGGGCAGGTCGTGGAGGCGAATATGGTGGATGGGTCGGCGTATTTGACGATGTTTCCGAGGTTTTTGGTGAAGACGCCGACGTGGAATAGAGGGAGGGGGGGGAATCTGTTGGATGGGGGTGCGCCGTTTTATCGGTGTTATAGGTGTGCGGATGGGGGGTATATGGCGGTTGGGGCGTTGGAGGAGAGGTTTTACCAGGTGTTTGTGAAGGGGCTGTTTGGCGGAGAGGCGGAGAGCTTACCAAATAGAGGGAATAGACGTAATTGGGAAGCGTTGAGAACGTTGTTTGAAAAGAGGTTTGCGGAGAGGTCGAGAGCGGAGTGGGAGAGAGTATTTGATGGGACGGATGCGTGTGTAACGCCGGTTCTGTCACATGGCGAATTGGAACAAAGTGGATTTGAACAGAGGCCGGCTGTGACGTTGATGGGATCGGAGGCGTTTAAAGAGAGAGAAGGTGAAGAGTGGTCAGGGAGAGCACTGAGTCCAGGAGAAGGGGGTAAAGAGGCCTTAGAGGAGTGGTGGGGATTGAAAGAGGGAATAGAATGGACGGTTGGTGAGGAGGGGTTCGAGAATCTCGAAAAGAAAGTTGAATCGAAGCTATAACTGTTATCTACATTTAGCTGTAGAGTACTTGTAGATACATAGCCAAGCACCTGAATCGCAGTCTTGGTTGGGAGTGAAGACGTTGGCTATAATGGTTTACCTCTAGAGAATTAAGAAATCCGTGACTGAGCACATGTAGCCAGCCTGGGCAATGTATCTATCACTCTAGTCTCTTTAGCAGCAGGCTGCCCCCGCCAGCAGGCCCGGAACACTATCCCCCCGACGAGTGTCGGCCGGCACTCTCGTCGGCCTCTGAAATGTGATATCGGGGCCAGAATAAACCTTAATTTTGATGTCGGAAGCCAAAAGACCTTATTTTTGTATGTAAATTGAGCCCGACAACCGCCTCGGCAGCCCGATACCCCATACAAAAAGACCTCACCCAAATCAGAAAGATAAAGCACTAGCCCGTCCGCTGGAAGCATGAAAGCAGACGGGCTAGGACGAGCATAGCCCTTCAGTACCTCTAATAGCACTGGGGAAATACCATACCATCTACCGCGGTAGCCTAGTTGCTATCGTGTCGCCCAGAGGGGCCGAGGTCGTTCGTTCGAACCACCTCCCAGGCTTGGTTGAAAAACTGTGTGACTGGGTACAAAGGGGTTGTAGCTAGTTTCCTCCTTTTGCTATTCTGGGGATCGGTTTTTTTTTATGCGCTTCATCTATTGATTACATTGCCTGTGTGGAGCAGAGAAGGCGCGGTGCATCATACTCGATCACTCGCTATGGTACTTCGTAACAATACCCTAGTCCCGTGCCCAAATTGTGCTAGAATCACATCACTTGATCAATCGCTTGTTCTGATCTTGTTGATTGTATCGCCTTTCGCCTACACACATGTAAATACATGCACGGGGCAAATTAGTCTCGTACCCAGCCCGTTACTTGCAGCAAGCTCGTCCGCTGGAAGCATGAGAGCAGGCGGGTTGGGGACGAGCCTAGCATCTCTCCATCAAAAACTGCAATGCCGGGTGACAACATGCGACAACTCAAATGCCCATCTCTACCCCTCTACTAGGGTACGAGACTACCCCTCTGCGCCGCACTCTCGCACCGCACTACAATCAACAAACTGGCATCAAACTAACCCCCATCTACTAACCCCACAATATGCATCGCTTAGGAAGAGCACAAATGCATCACTATTCTTCCCTAACAAACTTTAGCGAGTATTCCACTTCTGCACAGGCGAGACGTATCGTCTTCCATTTCCCCAGGTCGCAGGAGTTAAGTCTGTTCTAACTAGCCAGATCTTACAGAGTCCCTCAGAGGATATGAGCTGCTACACGGTGAGTGAGATGTTTGCAAAGTAAAGTAAAGTGTGTGGCTAGAGGAGATACGCACCTATATAGTCACTTTTTTTGTAGAGAGCGCCTACGATACACGGTTTTCTCTTCTAGTTAGCCTATTCTCTCAAGCTCTGTCAGGGCAGTGTGGTCTTCCCATCTGCCCTCAGTCTCCACTACACAATGACGGCTGAATAAACGCACAAACACATGTCAAATCGTCACAACTCTCGTAGGAACAGCTGGGCTCAAGGATGTCTTCAGCTCTTTTCGGGTCATTAGGTCGCTGAAAGCTCAAGAATAGGGTGGGCAGGAGGGAAGGAGGAATATAGTGAGTTACCATATTTCGCCGTGAAGGTACAATATGGCCATCTCTCTAATTTGAAACCATCTCCAGAGCCTACACTGCGCTGCAAAAGCCCACAACCCACAGTACCGAGCCCATAGCCGCTGAGATGATGGCCATTAGCGTCCTGCGAATTAGAAGGAAGTATCGAAGGAGACTTACTGTGACTGCTCTATTTCCTTACAAACACACACAAACCTTCTTATAATGTTTTATTTCATTATCATATGTTAACCACTATACTTCCATCCAATCAATTCTTTTCATCATGAAACTAGATCTCTCGAGAGCAGTGTCAGGCGTAAGACAAATCTAAATCTAGTAGTGAAGAAAGGAAGTACTGGAACAGAAAAGGGGATACGGTCAACTAGACCTAACGACAAGTTTTCTCTAAGAGATAACTCTCTGTCCTTAGTGCTTAGTGTCAGCGATCATCACAGCATATCACTCACACACAAAGAGCAGCAGATAAGCACCGCCTGCGTCTCGACCTAACACTAGTCAGCCTGCCAATAGGCAATAAATAGTGCCTTCACCAAAACTCTAGAAACGCCCGCCCAAAGACACCACCCAGCCTACCGAATGTCCCAGCTTAACCCCAGAAGTTTTAGAACACTGACCAGCAGGCTATAGTGTAAAGTGTATTCAATCTCTCCTAGATATAGAGCTCTTCTTCGGCTCCGGAAAATCGAAGGATGCAGTGCTTCTACCAGAATCCCTTTTTAATTTTGTTGGTAAATATCAATATTTTATCACCCCGTCCAGGGGTTACATATATATAGTTACACAGTTTATTCTTATTTCCCTTTACCGGACTTTCTCCCAGGCGGTACCAATTTCTATTTTCTTGTCATATGCGCTGCTGAAAGGAGAATCTTTTGCGTTGAGTTAAAACCCTACTGACACGATATTATGTAGCTTAGTGCTTTTAGTAAGTCTATTTGAGATGAGCTGAGGTATAATAGGTTTGACTCGTCTCACTTTATAAGTCCAAGCTTCGCAATGGTCGGATTTTCCGAGTGACACCATGTGATCCCGCATAGAAGTAGTTAATCTCAAGAAGATGAACCGGCTCGTGTCGTGCGAAGCACTGCTGTAGCTTTTCTTATAACTGTTGAAAGAAAAAGGCCGTTGCGGGACAGGATATGAAGGAATCAAAATGGCGGAGGTAGCTTAATCTATTGATTCATAAACGTGGAGGTCCTCGACAAGTGATGTATGCGAACACGATTCTACAATAATTTCAAAAGCCAATCTAACGCATTCAGTAGTAAAATATTTTCATATATATAGTCTTAGGGCTGCATACTAAAAAAATTGTTAATACCAGCAAGCGACTAGACCCGAGTGATATTTCGTGACTAGCGGACTCCAAACATACTTGAATTGAGAAAATAAGGAAACATCTCTACTAAAACCCCTCTGCTACTTACTTGTTAAATTCACCAAACTCAGATATGTGCGCATATCCTCAGCTCTGAACCAGGGAGTAATTGATTTGAAAGATCACATATGATAAAGCGGGCCGCTCTCCGAATTCGGAGGAGACAATTTCTCCCTGGAGAAAGCTACAAACATTGTAGCATAATTAAACGATTGGTAAGAAGTATGTCTGAGTAAGAAATAACCGGTTATGAAATGGGGACTCGAAATCAGGGTAAGGTAGGTAGGTCCAAGAAGTCTCCAAAAGAAATTTAAAAATGAACCCCGTAGTGCATGTAGTGATAGGGAACTTTCCGGTAGAATCGCGCGGGGTGGCGACATAAAGTGTTTAAGAGCTTTACCATGGCAGTAGTAGAGTATGTAAACCGCGGGAAGAATACCCCTGCGAACTTTGTGGGGAAATTTTAACTCTTACCAGGGCTCCGAATCGCTTAGCGCGCCTCGGATGGTAGATCTACCCATCGAGGGTGATTAGACTACTACTACATGAGCAGAAGGAGTATAGTTTCTACACGGCCTAACAATATAGTACCAAAAAGGGATATGCAATAGATATTGTGGCAATGTGCAGTTATGGTGAAAGTGCAGAAACAAGATGCCACCCCGGTCAGTACAACATCAGCTCTACAATTCTCCAGATACGGTAGTTGTCTCACATACGCTTCTTTGGTACTGTATCTATGGATACACTAGCACTATCCTGGCTCTATCTCGAAGGTTTCACTATAGATTTAGGTGATAAAACTATATGTAGATCTGATTATATAATCGACTTCTATCAGTAGTATTATGTAGATCAAGTATTAGTCTTTTCATCGTCACAGAACCTATCAAAAGGAAAAAAAGTAAACTTTTGATGTTAGCAATACCAGGTTTCGATCGTGAGACCTCCGGGTTATAAGCCCAGCGCGCTTCCGCTGCGCCATGTTGCCATGGTTATATCCTCGGGTATTGAATTATGGAACCCAAATCAAGTCACTTCCCGTGTGTAACAAGACTAGCAGCATCCTACCAGTTCACTCAATCACAACTTATCACTCGGATATCCAACACTCACTCACCCAGCGATCCACCCCAACAATGCAACATGGATCACCAGAACCTCACATCGCACTAATAACAGGAACCCCCGGATCCACTAACGCAATCCAACATGGATCCCCAACTCCGGGCCAAGGAGCCGATCGAGTGGCCAAAAAGATCCATAACAAAGAGCTGAAAAGAAAGAAATGTGGCGACAATAAGATTGATCGTCGCCTCGTAGAAGCACGTAGAGGGCAAGAGGGGGTCACACACGAGGGGAAATGTTTGAAATCACCCTTTTTTTATTTATTTTTTCCTTCTCCCTGCAGAGGAGCCGCGTCTGTTCCAGATGAAACTCGAATAATTATAACCCTAACCCTAGACACTGAGTGAAAGGTAACGTGGCTTGGCAGAATCTAATAATTCGCAACGCAACTGAAGATTGTCTCAATGATTGAAAATCCCGGTATCGAGGTTTCCTGGCACTAGGTTTTTGCAAACAAGCCGTTATACATGCTGTATGTTTAACACATGTAGATAGATAGGGATACATTATGGCCACCAGCTGAACATTATGCGGCCCTTAATTATCGGGCGGACGGACCCTCCGTATCCTGCCTTTATCCTTCCCGCCCGCGGTCACTTCTTGCAATTGAATAGGTGTCTATTTATGTTTCAAAAGAGGACATAGATTTCTTGCCGTGACAAAGAAGGTTTGTGGCAATAATGTGAATTTTCTTTTAAATTTCCTTTGGTATACAGACTCTAGAAGGCACACGAGAGAAGTTAAAGGTTCCGACTGTTGTACACACTTGTGTTTGTAGTCTATTGCGATACTAACATGAGTGTCTATCTATTTTTAAAGTCCAATTATCATCCACAAAGGCTATCAAATCGCACGCAGTGTTTTATCTTTCTATTAAAAAGCCAATTAGAGTACGGCCACCATCCCATCTTCGGCCCCCACACTGCAGCCCCATGTTTCAACACCATCGTACGTAGCCGCAAAATTTTTTTGTCCCGCACATCAGAGGTGATGAGAGGTAAAATAAGTCATCTAACTAATAACATTTGGTACCCACAGACGACCTGAAAGAACTCAGGGTCACAAAACACGCAACTAAACGAGATGGGGAGAAAATAAAAACAAATAGTTTTCATAACAACAATAATCTTGTGAAGCAATTCAAAAATAAAAGATAAAATCGCGATAAAACTCTAAAAGGTGAGAGAAAATTAAACCGCGCGCCATTGCCAGTCCCATCACCCCCCAAAAAAATTCCTGCACAGTCTATTCCGGTGATACCAGAGGAAGGGGAATAATCATATTTGGCCATTAGTTGCGACCTAAGTAAAGGGCTACTGTAGCTCAGCCATCTCGAGAAAGCTGGGTCCCATCGTCCAAATCCCTGTGGAGTATGTAGAGAACGCGTGTTGGTTCTGGACACGGCCTTTGACATTGTCCCACTCTTTTTCCAAGGCAGAATTCAGTTCATCCGATAAGTGGCTACTAGGCGGAAAAGGAACCGCAATCGTCAGCGCATGAATCTGGGCGACTCTAGTTACAAATGGCAAGTACTCACGCAATTGTCTTCATCCCATAGTCGACAGCGCATTCCACGTCACTATCAAAATCGATGGTGAGACGAGGAGACCCCACTGGTGACGGCCCACGGGATAGCCCAGGAACCTCATCGGTCGGGAGCAAGGATTCGTAGCTGCAAGCAAATCGTGCATCAGTACAATGGAAGGTAAAAAGGAAAGAAAAATACGCGAATTCAAGAGGCAATAATCAAAAAGCAAATATGCGGATATGCGCATGTATATCCGTTCAACGGGTACACTCCAGATCATCTTATGCGTACAACATACCTTTTGTTGTCACAATCATTGAGAAGAGGCTGTTCAGATAGTTGAATTTCTCGGTACTTGCGCCTGCATACGTCGCCATCTTTTCCGTGAAACAAGCCGGCAATTTGATACCATCCCTGTAAGAAAAAGCTTCTGGTAAGCGCTAGACCCAAAGCCGAACGTCAAATGAACCCAGATCTTGGGAAGTGGGAAGCTATGAAATTCAACAACGAACGCGATGGACTCACTAATTCAACACCGCTCCGACAAACAGAAATCAACAGAGCCGTCTCTTCTGGGGTCCAAGCATCGTATTTACTCGAGCGTCTTCGCGGGGTTGGTGGAGGACCAGGAGGAGGGGAGGGTGGGGAACTTCGAGATAAGTCACTGTAGTGCCCATCATCACAATCTCTTGGGGAAGGAGGCGGCCCCCTAGGTGGAGTTGGTGGATCGCACCGAGAGAGCTCATTGAAAATATCTCTGCGGCATGGGGATGGCGGAGGACCTCTGGGAGGAGTTGGGGGATCTCTCCGGGATAATGAATTGAAAAGATCATAGTCCTCGCGATGACCCGGAGTTGGTGGCGGCCCACCAGGAGGAGTGGGAGGATCACGTCGGGATAGGGAATCAAAAATATCAGCCTTGTGTTTCTGGGGAGTTGGTGGCGGTCCATTTGGTGGACTAGGGGGTTCACAGAGAGACAGCGAGTTGAAGATATCCCCATCTCCAGGAGTTGGCGGAGGGCCACGAGGGGGTGTTGGAGGGTAAGCTCTTGACAGTTCATTATGCGCTCTACGGCGCGGGGTCGGCGGGGGCCCTCGCGGAGGAGTTGGTGGATCAGATTTCGAGAGCGAGTGGATGCCAGTTGGTGTCACCAATGGTTGTAAACACTGCGTCATTGAACCAGCTTCAAAAGATTTTAAAAACGAACACGAAGTCAAATTCTCAGCTTTGTCCGTAATGACTGGAGTAGCTGCTGCCTGGCGCATAGGAGCTGATACGAAAGTGATTGGCTCAAGTAGAGGCATTGCGGAGGGTGTGTATTATACCGACCAGTTGGGAGAGCAGATGATGATTTTATGCAGAAATTACCCAGGCTAGAGCTTGCAGCGAATGATCGTGGAATTTTTGCCTTGGATAATAGCAACTAGAGTTACTTATGGTGCTCCTTGATGCCAGTACGTATGCAGAAGTAGCGACAGTCTTGAACAGAATGTAAAACTTGAGGGTGAAAACCTTATGAGGTAGACGCTGTATACCAACCTGAAGAAAACAAGTATGAGATGCAAGAAAGAGAAGATAGGTGGAAACTCTAGGGTTATAAGTACTGAAGGGAGGATGAGTGTGAAGGATTCACAGACTGATTATCGCTTTTGCACTGACCTCCAGTGATAGATAATTAAGATAGGGACGATAAATAATTGGGTTTGACGGAACATTGCAGATAATTGGTAGAGGTAGATCGAGTGAGTCTGAAGGAAAAGAAAGACGAAGAAAGAAAAGAAAAAAAAGTGCCGAAGTCTTAGAGTAAAAAGATATTGGCCAAAGTGGGGAGAAAAATGTTTCGTGCGTCGAACGCCCAACCAGGTTACATGCTTTACTTGGTAACATCTACCTTGCTGCACCTCTGTGTGATGCCTGCCTGCCTGTCTTCCTAGTTCCGGGAGAGCGATTCGCTGTCCTGGGTCTGGCTGCGATGTTTGTGGATGTATGTACATATGTACATATGGATCATACTATCCATGACATGGATCGGACATTTTCCCACCTCGTCTCTGGATTTCTCGCTAGTCCTCCGAGTCTCAGCGGTTTTTAGGTGCTCTGACTGACAGTTTACCCACAAATCAAAGCTAGGGCTACAGAACGAAACACCATGCCGCCGCCACGTACTAGTAGTGGAAGTGGCTGTAGGCAGGTAAGATGAAGCCTACATAGGGTTATTATCGTTAGATTCTGTGAGGTAGAGAGAGATTGGGCTATACCCACATGTAAACTGATAGCTAGGCCCTTTAGAACCGAAAAAGAAAATGGCGTGGGATGAATCTCAATCAGACAGTAGATTGGTTTTACAAGGGTTTTCCCCTGGGATTCCAACATGTGCTGGGTAGGTAGGTAGGGGGAGAGCCAACCGTTCCCGGTGACTCGGACTGCATTCAATTCTTTTTTTTCCTTTCATTTTCCTCTTCTAACTTGCTTCTCTCTGTCTTCATAGATCGTCAGTTAAAGATCGTCAGGCAACTTGGGATCTTCAATGGAGGGCAGCTAGCTAGCTAGACTTGCTGATCACACAAGTTGTTATGGAGGCCTAGAAGAAAGTCGTGGTGGTAGTGAAAGTGGAGAAGGAGTTGGATTTAGGCGTCGATAAGTCATCATCTGTATATACGGTTAGACGTGATACGGAAATATAGTTGCCCACTCCGGTCCAAAAGTACAATAGGTACATGTGTTCTGGACAGTCACTGGGGTCGAGATATCTGAAGTTAGCCATGGATAAGATTTATCCGGCCATTTTAGACCAACAAACTAACCCCGGTCTAGTTCGAAAACAAAGACATGAGTTCCGACCACTGCTACCTCCCAAGATGGGGCACTCCCGCCTCCCGCATGTTTCTTTTTTTGCGCCTGTCGTTTGTAAGACAACTTAAAAATCGGGCAGAAAAAACATTCCTTTCCCATGCCGTCAGTCAGGTCAAGCCATCGCATTCCCAGTCCCATGTTCTTATTCTGTTTGCGTCCAATGCCAAGCTCGTGTTTAAGGTCTGTGTGGAGCGATTAAACGTGGGTCGCGGTGGTGGCTTAAGGGAGTCCCCGAGACTGGGTATCCCCAGATTGGCGGGGGTGCATCGCCCATTACTTAAGAGGATTTACCTACACCAGACAGCTCCTTGCTGATTTTAGAAAAGAGGAGACGAGATTGAGACTCTGAATACGTACTGTTGATCAAAGAGTTTTACATCAGGCCCGATGTCGCTGTTCAGGTCTCATTCTGCGCATTTGATGACCTTTCCAGTAAAAGCTTAGCGTGGAACTCTGCTTCGGGCCCACGTCGAAACCCAAACGGGATCTCACCTTCAAAGGACTAGGTACTGCGATAGCCAGGTACTACAGCGTGTATATAGGTGGCTACATGTAATTAAGACACTTAATCCATTCACTCCACTCTGCCATCCCATGCATCTCCCTTTCTGGCACTTACACACCTAAATCCAAATCAATGGTTATTCCTTCATGTAGTAGTTCACACTGATGGCGTTTATACCCCGGGGAAATCTTTTTGCTCCACATGTATGTACCATACGGCACTTCTTCTCATGCGCTCACGGTCCTTTCTTTCAGGATCGACGGGAAATAATGGCTTCTGTTCCCTTTTATGTCAAGGGGTCTCAATTATGAGTGAGAGTCAACCCGAGATACTCGTCAGCCCAGCAAAAGTATTTCTCCGAACCCACTTTTCTTACTGTATATCTACACACATACATAGAGTAGGTACATAGGTCGGATTCACAGATCCTCCGTCAGATACGGTTCTTACCCGAATAGCCTCAACCCATGCAAGTTTTGGTGGAGAGATACCGCAAAATCTCAGGAATAGCAAATCGAACTGGACTGGAATATTGTGCTTCAAATGCTTGTTGAGCCTCAATCCGACAGACCTAAAGCGTAACTTTTGGTCGTCTTGACCAATGGGTAAGTGGTATTCCAGCCCAGTTCGATTCGTTATTCCTGAGATTCTGCGGTAGTGTGGATAAAAGACTACCAGACGTGCATTTTCAAGACAATCGGCCACTTGAGGAGGCGGAGGATGTGGAAGTTCTGGAACTGTGATCCAGAAAGAGGGCTCAACGGCCATCCCGAGCTGCTGGTGAAGCCATATCCTTGCGGATTGTGGCTGCTGCAGGCAAGGATCAGTACTTCGTCCCTCTTGCTTCATGGGGAAACTCACCCACCCAGCATCTTTCGTCGTTATTCACCGCAGTTAGCTATTCAGAATGTTTACACAAAGTGAGTTCTCTAGGTAGTAGTATTCGGCCCATCAAACTTTATTGTCGGAAGCTATCATCACTTACTCCAACATTCGCAGGCAGTTCCCGGCCAGAAAGACTTTATTCAACACCCCTTGAGCAAAACTAGAGGCCCAACCCGGCAACCAGGCCAAAGATCTGGAACATACATACATACTTTAGGGCAAACAATCAGAATGAGAGACAGAACCGGGTCTATAAACCTTCGCCTAATAAAACAGCCTGGAAATATGGGGTACTTATCCCCCCCTTTCAGCTGGCCGTTGTTCGTTTTTTCTTCTTGTAAACTGGTGCTCAACACGTGTCTGTTAGGAATTCGGTTAGGATCCGACAAAAAGCGGTAGTTATATCCGAAAGGAAAAAAGCTATTATACCGGAGTCCGATGCGAGTAATCGCTAATGTCGGGGGTATGTAGGTACTGGGTGGGCTTAAAAACCTACCTGCTCTACCTACGAGAAGTTCATCACTCATATGCACGCCACCACCCACTACGTCTTCGCCGCATCAAATTTCCCGAGGAAGCATTCCATTCTTAATGGCTAAATTCAGTAATGCAATAGTGCTTGGTTTCCACGTTGTCGGCAGGCCGGAGAATTCTTTGTGCACTGGATTAGAGTCGGTGTTTGTACTACAGCGTAGAAATACCACATTCAGCGCTACTCCAGATCCCTTCGAAGGTTGAGTCAACACTTCTAGTTAGTCGCTGCAAAAGTGTCTTTATAAAATGTTAATAATTACACTTTCCGGGCATAGGCAATTGTATCAAATAGAGTAGACAGCGCGACATAATGATACGCCTGCGCATAGCCTAAAAGAAGCATTGATTAAGGCCCTCGTGGAAACCAAAACCGCGGGAAAGTGGATCGATATCCGTGTTGACAGCGATTATGGTGAACGTGCAAAAAACATCGCAGTAACACGAGAAGGAGTGCCTACAGGCTATCTACCAGACCAAACTTGTGCTCTGTGGATGGATTGGTGAATAGTTATTGGAAATCAAAGCCCTCAGCCTCAAACTTCTGTCCTCTATGTCGTGGGGAACCGAAGATATTACTGACTCGATCGGATTTACACCTCAGGATCACAGTAAGGTCCCAATGAAATCATGGGTTAGGGTTTCTTGTTACTAATTGTATTCTGGTTGGGGCTAGAACACTGCATATAATACTCAGTAATAACGGCTTTGAGATGCAGGAACAACGAATAGTAAGACTCCCAATCCATCGATCCGAAAATGTGGGGTATGTATCGCAGGTATGCCTTCTCCCCTCCCTTCCCCTCACAAATAGACCTACATCCAGGCATCGACGTTTACTATCCTTCTTTCTTTCCTTCCTTTGGGTGGAGTTGTGCTCTCCCGTGATTCTAGAATCTCGCGATCTCCCGTTGCCGTCTACGGGACCGGGGAAACAAACGCACATCGAGCAAACGTTTGTTACACAACGGACTGGCTGCTAGCATGATGACGGTTATAGAGTAGTTACTCTACTTCACATCACTACAAAGCATTATGTGGAATAGATATTCCTACTATTTCTCTCACTACTCTTACAAGCGCGGTTTGCCGAGTGGAACGCAATCGCTGCGGGCGGGTTTCCTTCTAGAATATTTCTGGTTTGGGCTTGAGGCGTGGGGGCGAGGTGGGGTCGGGAGGAGGTATTTTCCTATCATGGAATATCTCTCCCCGTAATATGTTCTTCTGGCCCTTTTTCTTTTGAGTGGCCGTTGTTAATTTGAAACAACTTCCACAAACATGGACTATTACGGCCACGGCTGAAACAAAACGTTCCACGGAAAATTCTCCTATGATCATCTTCCTTATCTGGGGACACTGTTTGTAAACACGGACATAACGTATCAAAGCTAACAACACATGTAGTTATTAACATTCGGCGACACGAAATTGAATCTAGTGGTTTATTTATAGATTGCCCTATAGCAATCCGTGATACCTAATTACGCCATAGTTTTCTCCGTTGAGGGTTTTTCCTGGTAAGCAGGCGTGGGACAGCATATAATTCAGGTCATGTGCTTTATTTGTCTCCTGCAGAGTTTAGAGCCGATATCTTTTCATTGTAGTACAGCTGAGGGATAAGCAACATCCATCAGGCTCAGACACATCTTGATCACCGAAATGGATGAATCAATATAATGAGACAGTGTCGTCTATGCTTTAAGAAACCATTTACTCACGGGAGACCGCATACATAGTAGCCTGAGGGGTAGCAGGAAGATTATTGGCCAAGAGACGTGTAGAAAGAGGTGTAGAAAAAGGGGTCAGGGGAGCAGGAGGAGGAGGAGGAGGAGGAGGAGGAAAGGGTTTAATTGATGGGCACGTGGCTGACTTTCAATCACCACATGGGTTAGCTATCGTGGAGAAGCGAGCTTTAGCGAAAGCTGAAATCGATGTGTTTATTATCCAGTAATAACTACGGAAGAAGCAACTTTCTATCCAATATTAGGCCACAGGGAATGAGTGGCCATCAATGCATGATGACGAGTGACTATCCATGATTCCGTGCTCAATCGGAGAGCACCAAGACACAACGCCATCGACTATGTATACATATGATAGGTACGGAGGGAGAAGTGTAATGTTACAATGATCTACACGCAATTAAGTCGGGGGGTGTAAGTGCCAATATCTTGTGGGTGTCGATGAGGCGACGTAGATGCGTCGTAGTGGTACCAGTTGATGGGCGAATCAGAACCCTGTTGGTATTTCGTCCAACATCCGATGGACCCATATGCAAGACTACGATGGACCGCATCTCATTGGATGCAGATCTCATCGCTTGGTACGAATGGTTTATTGACCTGAAGAAGTTCTCCTTTTTTGACCCTTTCACTTTTCCAACACGGGCGGAGCGAGTGATACATCTTGCTTGGTTGGAAGATAACGTGATTTAAAATTTGTAGTCATGAAAATGTGACTGTGACTGACTGTACCCATCACAGATCCCTTTCCTTGCATTCCAATGGCTGTCGTCTGAGACCCAGCTGGAAAGCTGTTGGACATGGACGCTGTTTTTTTATTTTTATTCATCATCGGATATGGTAGCGCTCACCGAGGCATTTATTTATACCGTATGTTCGAAATGTAACCAGTAAAGACCCTTCTTCTAATGCTAATCCAAGCAGGCGTCGTCCAAAGGGAAATACAACGTGATTCAATTGTAAGTACTCAAAGTGCAAACACCATTGGTGGGACAATCAGTAATGCACGGGCATCACACACAGAGCACTTCAATGCCTGCAGCGAGAGAGAGAGACATTGAAACCCGTTACCAATCATACGCCCGAGTGCCAGGGTATGATGGCAACGCCTTAATTCCAGTTCCTTCTGTGCGTCCGCCGAGTTCCCCCCATGCCTTTTCGTCAGCACTACGACCAACCTTGGAGGCCCAGTCCTTCCTGGAATAAGTGATCGCCATGTCGAGCATCGAGCATCGTGGGAAAAGAAACCTGAATGGAGGTAAAAAGGCTTGTGCTCTGCATAATATCCGGCGCTTTCCCCCAACCCAAAGGCACATGCTCTTTCTCGAGTCCTCAGCCACCCCCTCCTTATCCAGCAGGGCTGGCCAACTATCGTCAAGCTTTCGGATATGAGGTGATAGTGGCAAGCCGGTCGCAATCAGATCCCCGTGAACAGACTGCCATTCCCCCCCACCCATCACCATAACTGTACGTATTCTACCGGGGGGGTTATCGACCGACGGAAAATCGATATCGTCTGTGTGTTCGGCCTCCTAGCCGCGTTTTCCCACCGAGATTCCCCTGCTGGTGCTGCCTAATTTGATGCGTCTGTATCCTCTTTGGCTTCCGGGCATCATTCAAAAAGTGGTCTGGCTTCCAGGTCTGATTCAAAAGAATCATTTCCCCCACTCGAATACCCAAGCGCCGCCTCTAAATCATAGATTGAAAGGCGCTTGCTTGATAGCCGTGAGCAATTTTCTTGCTGCGGGGGAGAGAGAGAGGGTGATGCTTGCTAATATCACGGAAAAAGCGGTGGTTGGCGCTTGCATTCCTAATTCAAACCAATCAGTAACTTATTCTCAAGTGTAAATAAGTGAACGGTGGAATGATATACCCTGTCTGGAAGAAAAAATGCACCTGAGCAGATCATTTATTTTTTTTATCGACAGCGAACACCGGCAGAAATCGTTCAACTTTTTGAATATGTCCGGCCCCCCCCGAATTTTTTTGCAAGAATTTACCACCTCCCACAAACAATTTTTTTCATAGCTTCCCACCCGCCCAGCTGCCGACGATGTGGGGGGTTTATTTATCAAGTAAATATTTGGATATGCAAATCTAAATTCTCAACTTGAATATATGTATGATACTTTTATGCAGCAGGGTCTTTACCTAAGCTTATTGACTGGCCGGTTTTCCGACCTAGACCAATCAAACTGCTGATTGAGTGATTACCGAATTAGAGTGCAAAGTCTAGACCTCGTCGAGCCCTGAAGGTGCAGTTCATGATTGTGCCCATGGTGCAGATGAGAACACCAGGCTTAGCGATTCTTGCATAACGATGTTGGACCGAAAGATTAGGGAGTTCGGCAACGCAGCGAGAGGTGGTGATAGTTGGGTGATAGTTGATGATGGATGTTGTTGTTGTCACCGTGAGTTGTAGCGCTGGCAAAAGCCTTGGCTTTTAAAGCCCTAAGCCCTGAGCAGTTCAATAATTACTCTAGACTCTAGAGTGCCGTTGTGGCTGAATTTGCTTAGTAAGATGACCAATGTGGACGAGCGGTGTGGTTAGCAGAATTAAACATAGGCGGGAAACAGGTGTCTCGTCTTGTCTCGTCTATAATCATCACAAGTACATTTGGTTCATCGCTTCAGGTATCCGCCATGGCTTCATCAGTTCATCGAGAAGAATCTTCAATTACAAAGGAGTGGCGTTTTGTCTCACGAGACCAAGAAAGGATAAATTCAACCACTTTACAACACCTCGCTGCCAATCTCGCTGATTGGCTCTTTAACCGCATATTCCAGGTAATTTTTCTTCTGGTGCTAAAGCCACCAGCCTAAAATATATTCCTTTCGGAGATTTTCTAAGTGAGAGGTAACCAGGATAGCCGCATATATCCTTATACCCTCTCGAAACAATTGCTGATCTATGATATATATCGCACGTGAGGATACTCTCCTCAGTACATTCAACTTCAAGGTTATCATACTGCCTACATCATGTATTGCCTCCACACCATCTAAACTACCCTAACCCCGTCTTTAAATTTTTCCGGGGCATCCCTGACACCCCGGGCCGGCCTACCGATGTTCCTGGTCCGAATTGCGGGGGGTAGCGGAAGATCTTTCTGGTCAACGGTGCAACTCTGCAGGTACAACTCAAAAGATTCCGGGTTTCTGCCAAAATACAGGGCCTAGATTGGGGGTAAAGGACTGCGTACAGGGGGCTCACATCAATTAATCAAACCCTACTATGCGGAGTGTTTCCCTTATTTTCCTTTTTTTCCTTCTTTTCTTTAATTCTTCCATGAGCTAAATCTACCGCGCCGGTACGGTCGGCACTGTCATAATCGACCTTATCCTCCCTTCTCCACTATACTCTAATTTCCCCACCCCCTCTCTATGAACTACTTTAATTTACTCTGACCTCATGAGCTCGCGATCCCTGGTATCTGGCTATTCCCCAGGACCTGCAGATCGCTCATCATCTCGACGTATATAAAGAATGGCATCTCTCGTGAATCTTCTGCTCCTTACCTCACACAGTTTGCTGTCCTTCTGTGATCAAATC